CTTCTTTCACCTGTTCAGTATTGTCAAAATCAGGAGCATCCTGTCTCAAAGTGATGCTGAAAAACTGGCCATTGCATTTGTTACTTCCAGGCTGGACTACTGTAACTCTTTACTATCAGGATGTCCCAATAATTCCCTAAAAAGCCTCCAGTTAATCCAAAATGCTGCTTTTTTTTAGAGCCTTATCATCTTAACAGAGCACTTCGCTCTCAGAGTGCAGGTTTACTTGTGGTTCCTAGAGTCCACAGAAGTAGAATGGGAGGCAGAGCCTTTAGCTATCAAGCTCCTCTCCTATGGAACCAACTCCCAGTCTCAGTTCGGGAGGCGGACACCCTCTCTACCTTTAAGATTAGACTTAAGATGTTCCTTTTTGATAAAGCTTATAGTTAGGGCTGGATCAGGTGACCCTGAGCCTTCCCTTGGTTATGCTGCTATAGGCCTAGGCTGCTGGGGGGCCCCATGATGCTCTGAGCTCCTCTCCTCTCCTTTCAATCTCCATGCATTTATATGCCACCATTGCATGTCTAACTGTGTGTCTCCTCTCTCCTGTAGTGTGTCCTCTCTCTCTCCCTGTACCTTTCTGCTCGTTTCCCTGGCTCCAGAGCTCTACGTTTCTGATGAGCAGTCACCGGCCACATCAACCGTCCTAGTGTTTGTTTGTTTGTAGTTTCTTGATGCTTTTCTCTTCTTTCCCCTCTATCCACTCACCCCAGCCGATCAAGGCAGATGGCCGCCCACCAAGACCTGGGGTCTGTCTGAGGTTTTTTCCATTGAAGTTCTTGCTCAGGGAAGATTTGTTGGATTGTTTTTCTATAATACTGTAAGAAGGTTATAACCTTACTATGTAAAGTGCATTGAAATGAATTTAGCTGTGATTTGGTGCTATATAAATAAAATAAATTGAACTGACCAGGTCCACACAAACAATACACACTCAAAATAACACAATTCTGTGCCCTCTGTATCTATACAAACACTCACTCATACAGCACAGTGACATACTGTACACAAACATCCTGACATCCACAGACACACACTATGATGAAAGCTTCTTTTGTCCGTGACTACTCTCTCACCTGAGCCTGAGTGTGGGAGAAATCCTGCTTGGACAACAGTTTTGTCCAAAGTCTGAATTCGGTACATTACCCGAAAGCATCACAGGCCTGGTGAAGAAATGGTCTTTCATTGGTAAAACCACTGTAAAGTAAAAACAGCAAAACTGCTGTGGCATTAAAAAGAAAGAAAAATCTTGGACAGAACTTAAGAAGCATAATAAACCTCTGTCATTTTCTGTTTGCGCTTATTCTCTTCATTGCCATGTGTGCTGTTTATTTGATAAATATTTACGGCAAAGATTCTAGATAATACAACTAAAATTAAGCACATTCAGTTCATAGAGAAACTGGTACCCAAAACATTTGAGAGCAAAGATGAAGAAACCAGACTAAGAAATATTCCTTTTCTCCCTCAGACGTTGCTGTGTAGTAGATATAACTAAGGCTATGATATTAACAACTCATCAGTTACCAATATAATTACAAAGAGTTCTACAGAAGCAAGATATTGAGATGCTCTGGGTTAAGAATGTCTTATTTTATTAAAAGAAACAGATGTCAAAATTTATGTAGAAGGAAAAAATTCTATAAAATCGCCTAAATGTGTACACATGCAAATCACAATCATATTAAATAAAAACCAGGTAAACATTAGGAGTGTAAGAACCTCTGCTGTATTTTTATACCCCCCAAGTGTTGAGCCATTGGAAACTCTCTGTCTTTACCCAGGTGTCCAACACATATGGGTGCAGGTCAGATTTTGAACATGTCTTTCATGAAACATGAGCATATGACATTCCAGGGCTTGATAACTGCCCATTAGGATAAAATGTGTTGCTGCCAGGCAAAGTAAACAGCATTAGGATGCATGTTGTTACATTCACAAATACTAATATTATGGTTTCAAGATGGATTCAGTTTTCCAGGGGGTACAACTACATTTATTTTTACAGCAGCAGAACTGGTTGATGTATGTGACAATTCAAGAGAGGCTTTCATTAATTTACCTCAAACAATGATTTGTTTTCTGCTAAAGTATCTGGGAGAGTGAACAAATGTTTCAGCCAGAGTACAAATTAGATGCAATGTTATTGATTCCTGTGGGTAATGTGGGGTCACTGCACAAAGAAAAGGTTACAGATAAAGAAGCAGACAACAGACCAAAGCAAATCATCACAATATCTTGAAGAACATTGTGAAGTTTACACTGAAGATGCGGGAGCATTACAGTGTATTCATCAAGATGAGGCAGAAAATGCCAAGTTTGTCAGTAAGTCTAATATAAAATCCAGTTTGTGGGGGGTCCTTTAGCATTACATAAGTGAAAGTGTGGATCAAAGTCCAAAGCTCCTTAATGATCCACCGCACAAGCTCACAAATACAGAAACCTCACACAGGGAGAAAAAGCTCTTCCAGTAGTACTTCCAGTTTAATTTCCACCAGCTCATCTGAATATAACTCTAAAAAGTATACATCTTGACAATCTTTTATGACTGCAAAGTGATGGATTAGCACTGTGAACCCAGTTTCTCAGAATTACCCTCTCTTTCAGCTGTTTATTTGAGTTTTAGGAAACCCCAGCAGTCACATCAGGGCAGCAGGTCCTCGAGGACTTCAACAAAACTCAGAATGTTAAATTCATAGTCCACAGTAAAAAGGTCATCTGGAGATTCTGTTTCCATAAACACAATACTTGGTATAATAAGACCTGTATATCACTACAAATTAAACTTGGAGTAATCATTCAGAAGAATGATAATGAACTAACTGTCTGTCAAATGTAATGATGTTGGGTTTTCTACATTGACACATTCAGATTTATTCACATTCAGCTCATTAGAATCAGTATGGACGAAAACAGGTTCATTACACAAGCTCAATCACATCACCTTTGCCCTCTCCATATTGTCTCTTTCAGCATTCACATGGTCAGTTCACCACACTGAAGACTTTCCCAAACCAATTAGCAAGAAGTGAACTATAGCATCTTGTGGTATCAGTGCATACTTAAGGGTATGGTCAAACTGGCCTTCGGTCCCATGAAAGTGGAATGCTCTCAGCATTAAAAAGGGTGTGATGTAAGAAATACAAATTGGACAAAGTTTGTAGTCTGGTAGGGTAACATTTAAACAAAGAAACAATGTGGTGCTAAACTGCTAGAATAATAACGTATCCATTGTCAAATATAAGATGCATGAACACAGCACTGTTTCTTGGTTGACTGCAACTGTCAGTCAAAGTTGGACAAAGGTCAGCTATGCCCTGAAAGTCTACCAGAGCATAGAAAAGAACAGTAGATGTTTTTAAATTCATCACTTGTTTGGGCTTTAATTGATGTGGAAAAGATTAAAAAAAATTGAAATGCTTTTTGTTTTGTTTTGTTTGGATACTTGGAAATGGTGGAAGGGGTGAACACAGCACTGACCTGTCACCATCTTTAGGCTGATTTGGCAAACATGATAGCAAACGTTATGGAGCAAACACCATGATTTACATGAAGGCACATTTCTGTTGAATGTAGGTCCAGTATTCACCTTCTTTTAGCGATGTGTTTGGTCTCTACCAAATCTGAAGGGAAATATTGGACACTAGCTAGGCACAAATTTCATCTCCAGTTTGGTACTGTGTAGGTAGTGATAATGGGTTTTCAGAACTTTTTTGCTGAAACACCAGCTGCTGAAGCTGAAAATGATGCTATGAAAATAGTGAGAATGAACTAAAACAGTAAATCTACAGATGAAGAGCTAAATGAACAGCTGAAATGCACCATGAAGCTCCAAAACCCAAAAGGAGCTGCAGATTTGGGTGATGATAATACACTGTAATTGACATCTTTCACACTGTCATTTAATATATTTCAAATATTGATTGTAGCCACTTCAGTAGAAACTGGTGCCGCTCTGACCTTACCTTCACAATACTGCACTACCCCAAAACAGATGTACACATGCAGTAAGTTGTGTCACTGACACTGAGCTCTGTCTACACCAACAACCTGTCACATTGTGATGCATTTATTTTTGCAGCAGTAACACTGTTCTGTTATGCATTTGTGTCAGTAACTCAGACACCCACATCATATGTGTTGTTGCACTAGTTATTCTGATGACTGCTTCCTAAGAGAGGCATCACACAGCTTACCCACTTATTTGTAGTGGCTCTATTAAATGCCCTCCACAACCACTCATATAGATACTAATTTTGAAAGTACTGCTCGGAGGGACCCTTTTGGAAAGGACCACTGGGTCTCTGGGAAAAAAAAATGCTTAAACTAGCACCCCAACTGAATTCCCTAAAAGTGGATTTATACTATTGGCTTATAGAACAAACTACTGCCTTTACCTACTTTATATCAGATCTGTGAAAAGTTTGGCTCATTTCTAGTTCTAGCCAATGTATTGTATTGATGCTATATTGGTACCACCTCTACCCATGTACAAATAGTAATCAGACTCAGCAACTGTTGTAAATTTGGTATCTTAATAAAGCTATCACAGATCAGATTGTAGAAACTCACATTATCAAAAAAAAGAAAAATCCTAGCTAAAACATGCAGTGCTATAGCAATGATTGTGTACACTCACAGATGTTACCAAAACAATTTAGATTACCACTTTAAAGATTTATCTGTACTACAAACGCTGTTTGAATAAATCCTTTTAAGCAATAACAGGAGACCGATGATCACTTTGCAAGCACAAAATTCAGTAAAACATTTCAACAAGAGCAAATGTTTGTCTTTATTCTGAATGAGAATCTAAATCTCCCATCTGCTTGCCATAGTAGCTGATGGATTCCAAAAAATACCAATAGTTTACTCTACAAAGATAATTTTAAAAGTGGAAAGAGACTGGGTCTTGCTAAGTAGGCACCTATAACAGTGGCTGAGGGTAAAATGACTTTAATAAAAAGTGTGTTGTTGCATGAACAGTATTTGGCTCTTACCATTCACTTGGAGGGTGTGAGTCTGAAAGAGTTTCTCATAGCCATCAGCATGACAGGTATAGTTGCCCATGTGAGTAGTGGTCACCTTGGTAATGTACAGTGACCCATCATCCCCAAAGTCCTACCAGAGAAAGAGAAAAGAGAGGTTTGATAATTTAAAGAACCTACTGGCAATCCAGAAGCAGCAGTGATGGTTGGAGGTGTTTAGAGCTGGAAATGAATTGTTTCAATGGGAATGCAAGAAGCCTATAGAGTGCAGACAGGAGGATAAACATGCTTCATAGCGTAGGAAATGGGAACTATAACAATAATTTGAAAAGGCACATTGTGGACCAGTGTCCATCAATCCAAGTCAAAAGTTGAAGCCATTTGGCGCTTCAGAAAATAACTGTCACAGTCACAGTTAAGAAAAATTGTTTTCTTGCACATGTCATTTTTCCAATCTGAGGCAAGTGATCTGATGGAAAGGGGCTGAGGCTATAATTGATGAGCGCAGAAATTACCCAGCGTTAGGAAATAACGGAAATATAGTGGCTGCAGACACACAGTCAATCAAGATAACTTCTGCTGTTCATTTCAAATGTCACTGTCCCTGAAAAGGCCAAAACATGAGTTGTTACCCTTCAGTTAACACGCACGCCCCACGAATACACAAAACACATTCCACTTTAATTCTCATGTGGAATATTTAAGGCAAAACTAAAGCTGTAATTAAGCCAAACCCTATCCTTAATGTGAACTTGTGTAGAGCCTTTTGAAATGCTTGGTTGTGACTGTTTAGCCAGTGAACACAAAAATGGTGCCGCACAAGGAAGAATAAATTCAAGTTCTAGCACAGACAGAAGCCCCCTGAAACTAATGAGGTGTATGATGAATCCTGTCTGGCGAAGAGGGAAAGTCTTCTACCTTGTTAAGACAATGGTGCAATAAAAAGTCAGACACTACATTGTAATGATATATATAATGTCTTATCCTGCTCTGGGTGTACAAGCAAATACTTCTAAGAAGATTGATAGATGTCTCACTCTTCCCTTTTAGTACTTTTTTAATGTCTTACATCTCAGATCAGAACTATATTCAAGTCTCAATTTGAAGAAAAACTGTCTAGATTTAATTAAAATACTCATTTTAGCACATTAACTAAATCAAAATGTTATATTTTAAAACTTCAGGGATTACTTAGCAACAAAAGACCTGTCTGTGCTCACAACAGCAGGTTTCATCACTTTTCTATGCACCATGAATTTTCAGAAGACAATGTGCATCAGCCTTCATCAGGATTTTCTTAAGATGCTACTGACTTGATGAAGGCCACGTGCCAAAACGTGTTCGTTCCTGATTGCTGCCGTGCATTAAAAAATGTACTTTTACTGTTATTTTTTTTTCTCTTTCCTAATGCACATTGAGAGCCGCTGTACCAGAGTCAAATTCCTCATGTGTCCGACACACCATAAAGCTGATTCTGACATTGACATTCTTAAGAATGCCCACGAGTCTGTCCCCATGCTCCTCCTTTCCTATAAAAGAACATTGCATTCTTTAGTTAAAAAAGAGTAAGTCCTAATTACCCATCCTCGTTCAAAAGAGCCCATAACAAGAAAAGGCCCCTTTCTAATTAAACAGCTTTTAATACTTGGATCACATTTTTGCTGTTTATATCACGGCTTTCCGCTTCCCCCTAAATGTCGACAGACAAGTGAGGAGAATCGGCCATCGTGTTTACAGGCATACAGTGTATTTATCAGTTCATCTCAGTGTGCTCCGATCTAACCTACGAGCTCAGTAGCAGCTCAGGCTAAGTGAAGCATCAGAACTTCACAATGTGAGGGGAAATCGATGGTGCGTTTGGCCCCTTGGGCTCAGAGCATATTGTGTCACCTTCTTAAATGAAAAATGAATGGGGGGAGAAATGAAACTCAGAGAGGTGGAACGAGCCATGGCGGCGGCTGTCGACATGATTCCTCGACCTCGCCTCAGCTATCAGCAGCACCTAGCACCCAGCTCTCTACAGATAAAGCAGGCCAAGGTACAATGACTCAAAGGAAGGGAGACAAGGGCAGGTAGAGGTGGATTTACAAATAGTCCATAGCCCTCAAGAAACTATAATTAATAAAGCTGTCAGTGCCAGGTCACCTCCGAAAGGACACTAAGAGCCATCTTATTGGACAGCTAACCTATGGCAGTGACAAGGCATTTCATAAAATGGCCTTTGAGGAAGTTCCCAATTGGCCCTATGAAACTTTATCAGAGGAATATAATATGGTGAGTGAAATTACCCTCCAGTGTGTACAAAAGGTGAGAGAAACATGTTTCCTAACAAGAATTCTGATGCAGCACGGCAAAAAAAATAGGCATTTTGACCAAATTATAAGAAGACATTTATGTACCTCTGGTAGTTTCCAGCTATGCAGATAGTTTAGGATTAATGTCAATTTTTTGAGGTTACTGCTAATAAAATTCTGTCACTGCCTCAAAACAACGGAAGTGAATGGAATTAAATCTGTGGTGGTTATAGCAGTAAAAATGGCATTTAAAAAATTTCACCAGCATGCGTTTTTCCAAAACCAGACTCCAGAGTCCTCCCTGTCCAGGTTCAAATTCTGAAAAGGGATACTGTCTTAGGAGTTAAACTGGTCTGATACGGTGACAATCACAAACTACATTCCCCTCATGTTTTTGTTTTGGGATAGAGACAGAAATCTCAGACAAATGTCTCAAAATCTTGCATAAAACCCAGACTAGCTGCTCACCACCAGAGGTACGGTAGGTGAGGAAACGTTTGTTGTAATCTGGGTGAATTAGCCTTTTAAAATGTTCAAAAAATGAATCCAAAAGGCATGCAAAATTAGCTTTCAGCTGCTAAGGCCAAATTTCAGTTCTCATTTAGTCATATTTTTTGCATCTTTGTTTTGATTTTCACAAAAGAAAAACTGGTTTAACCTTTAAAATGTAACCTTTAACCATTAATTTACCCATGACGATGCAAGAACGACAATGATGCAGTTGCTGAAAAATCATTTTCCAGTAAAGGAACATAATGTCGACATCTACAACCTGTCATCTGCATTTTATAGTTTATACTTTGGATTATGGCATCACGCATCTGTTGCAGGCATGCACTAGCTTTGTGGGCTTTTTGAGAATGGAATGAGAAAAGAGTGAAGTAATGTCAGTTTATTGATCCAAAACAAAAAAAAAAACCTACCTGGGACGGGATCTGTGGAGATGAAAACAGATGAAAAATTTAGTTTTAGTTCCATCACAAGATTAAGCCATTATAAATGGCATGTAAAGCAACCAAGTGGCACCATTGTTGGTTTTATTGTCAGAAATTAATCATATGATGTTGAAGCAGCTGCAACAATTAGCCAATTTTTTTTATATATTGCAAAAATGCACTGGTTTCAGTTTCTCAAATATGAAAATGTGTTGCATTTTTCTGTTCCTAAAGCTGAGTTGAGTTTTTATACTCATGGTCATGCAAACAAACCATTTTAATCACATGGCCTTGCTCCTCCCGAAGCTGCAAAGAGCATTTTTCACTGTCTTATGATGTTTTATAAGCCAAAAGAATAATGAACAAAATAATCAGCAGATTAAGTGATAATAAAATAGTTTTTAGTTGCAGCCCTACCATAAACTAAATACAGTAAGTGTAGGTGATAATCTCCGGATAATATAAGAGTAGTGTACGTAGATGAGTACACAGAGTGTGGTCGTGGGCTCCCACACCACATGATTAATTCAACCAAAAACCCATCTTGATAAAAGATGGAGATATAATAAAACAGGCCATTGTGATTCAGTAAGATTTATGTTACCTGCAATATAATCCAGAAACAGTGCGTGAAGAATACAGATTGTATCGCAGGAAATGACTGATCAAAGCAGAAGGTAGGCATTATAAATAATCACACGTCTAATGTTACACATGGAACATCTCCACTATGTATGTAGATACAGAGAATGTGAAAACCACCAGCATAGGACGCAGAGATAAGAAAGGAGAAGAAGGAAGGTTCAGCTCAGACTGTGCTGCTTCCTGTGTTGTATTGATTTGTGTTGAAGCTACAGTCCTTCTTCAAAACATGGTTTCTATTTTTAACAAATCTGTTTTTCATGATTAAATTAAAAGATTTTGGTGCTAAAGTAAATATATATTTTACTGTGACCTTCTAAGTTCACAAGGACATATTGATCAAAATTTCTGATGAATATTTTGTACAAACGTCACCATTTTCCCCTGTACACTTTCATATTGTTGGATTTCCACCCCTTTATAAGATTTACAAATCATCAAATGCCCATAAACCCCAAGTCTTTCTGTCAGATAATGCACCACCTCTCTGTGGGTTTCTCATGTTGTTGTTCCAGTACAAATAGAAATAAACATGAGAAACCCATGTGTGTGTATACTGTGTGTACACACACATGACTGTGTACGTGACTGTGTCTTTTGTTCAGCCAATCAGGGAGGACTAAAATACTGACAACCTTGGGTGATGATGCAATAGCCAGCAGCTATAAACGTCATGGAATTACAGTAAGCTGCTTTGTCAAAATTTAGATAGGCTCTGTTGAATTCTTGCATACAAGCCCACTGCTGGGATTAATGCACAGTCCAACTCTGAAGTATAATTCAAATAATTCTAAAATAACCAAATTATTTTAGAAGGCCTGTGAGATTAGACTGCACCGATATGCATGCACAGGACTATGACTCTAATTAAGGCTGGCAGTGGATGCTCACAAATATTAACAGGAGTTATACAGAACAACCACACACAACAACAGTTATACAGAAATTGCCTGTAAGGCAATTTAGAATGGCTCTGTGGATACCAGGTGCAGACAAAATCCATTCTCCTCTCAAGAAGGGACAACAGTGATTGACTGGAAGTCCAAGAGCCAAAAATAAATCTGGATTAAGCTGTCAGTGAACTGCTCATTTTTCTTGGTGTAGTGTGGTTTGCACACAATTTTCTGATGAGCCACACGAGACTGTTAGTGCTCAAGTTTATATACTTGCTGGTGGTGTCCAGTGTTAGTGCGACTGCTCTGGAGGTAGTAACAGAGGCTGTAAACTCAGGCTTTGTTAGACACCAACAAAAAAATCAAAGCTGACAACCACAGACCCCGAGGGTCAAAGTACAACAATGTCTGAAGAGAGAAATTAGTCCCTGCAGTAGTTTAACTCGGTCTCACTTCAGCTGCCTGGCATCAACCAACATGCTGCATGTTCCATGGAGGCAGATGAAGTGTAATTTTATGCAACAACATTAAATGCAGGGAATTTAGATCCTACTGGTCCCAAAGTGGTTCACAGATAATTAAAATGCAAACTGCAAGTGCATGCTTCGTTCAGCTCAGTTCTAGCTATGGTTTAAAAATCTGTGACTGAAATCAAATGTTCTTGCTTTCTTCAGAATATGATGGTTTCAAACCACAAAAAAACCAAGCACAGACGACTGAACTGCATTGTCTCAAAGATGAAGGGGGAAAAATGAAGTCCTACAAAGTGAAAAAAGACATTTTATGAAGTTCTGACACAAAAGCACAGCAATGTCCAAAAATATTAAAGAATATCAGGTCATTTTTCTATATTCTGTCATCATTCCCACTACTGATGAACTTCAGACAAAGCTCTCGTTACTACAATGGCTGCAGTAAACAACATTTGACAGCAAAAGCTTTCATCCCTGATCTGACATTTCATCTGAAAATACACCTGTGCCTGACATGTCACCATGGGAAACTGATGACTGTGTGTGAAGCACAGACAAAGGCCATCTCTGGACGGGGCACTGAACTCTGCTGTGCGTCTTCAGGCAATAGCAGGAGATGAAACAAAAACTAGTTCTACTCAATCTGCAGACAAAGGAATAAGGAAAACTGTTTTTTGGGGAAAAAAGAACAATAGATCAAAGCCTGCACTGACCTTACAACACCTAGCACCTCTCATTTCTTCTCCCTGTAATTCAAAGCATTTTCAAAAACTAATCTGACACTTCTTCTTTGTTGCGTACATCTTTTTTGACTATGTATTGCTCAAAAGCAGTCATAGCATATTACAGAAAATGACAATGGAAAAGCTGTTGATTTCATGGTGCTGCTTTTTAGGAGAATCACACATCACCAACAACCAGAAGCAGCGGCCAGTTTACAGCCAGTTGATGATGCCAAGGATGACTGGCGACAGCTGGGCGCCTCTTTCTCATTTTAAGGGCCATCAACATTTAATGTTACATTAGTGGCTTCACTGGGTTTCCTTTTATCTACTATGACAGTGTTGACTTAATTATGCATAGCAGTATCACACTCATCTCGGTCAGCTCTGACACCAAGAGGAAAGGAATAAGCCAAAGGAGCTCCTTTCTGTACCTCGCCACTTAACTTTTGATGTGGATGAAAGTGGCATAAAGAGCTATCTGGAGCAGTGAATGTAGATCTACACACAAACACACCCATGCAAGTTGTTAAAGTAGGTCCTTCCTCTAGGACTGAACCCCTCTGGAATCCCCCTTCATCTTTTTTCTTTGTCTGGAATCACTGTCCCTCCCAGCAGTCTCTACACACAGTCACCAAGCACATAAACTGACAAGCTGGATTACTGTCAGACCTACCATACAAAGCCAGTGCCAGCATTCAAATAAAATGTGCTGACATTCTGAGCCACTGCCAAAAATATAAGGCTGAAATGTGACAAGACAGACATACAGGATAAAATTATCAGAAATTTACAGCTGCTGCAAAAGGATTCTGAAAGATGTTGTTAATAACTGATGATGCTTCACAATGTCAAAACGCAATAATCAGATGAGTTCACTGCATGTGTTTCAACTATTAATCTCACTATGTATCTACCTACAGTATCAGTATAGGCATCTATAAGTCTACTACTGGAGCTACACGTCTACCCATCTTTTCATCTCGAAACAATAAACCTGAGGAGGAGTTGACAGATGGTTCTTACATTAATGTCTTCCAGATTCAAGGAGTTCAGATATTGGTGGTTTCTCTTCCACAGTATGTGAGGCTTCTGTTCCCCTGTGATGGCACAAGTTAGCACGGTGCTCTGGCCAACGGTCACTGTAGTGGTGCTCACTTTCTGATCATCTGGCAGCGTGAGCAAGTACACATCTGTTGACAAAAGTGACAACATTAGACAGACCAACGGAGATACTTCACAATGCAAAATAAATATGTTTTGCTCACATTTTTCTCTAAATGAAACCAGAAAACAAGAATCAAAATAGACTGTCTCAATTAGCTGCTACTATGCTGTAGAGCCAGATGTTATTGTAGTTACAGATGCACCGAGGCAGCACAATTATTGCAATTTGCAAAGTAATGAGAAGGAATTAAGTTTAATGCTGTGTAAATACTTTGCATAATTTATGCGATAATACTATAATGGAGGTTCTACTTTCTCTATCAGTCTATCCGAGGACCCAGTGTCCACCATTATGTGAACAAAACAGACACCAGTGCTGCTGCTCTGCTGAAATCGCATCAGAAACGCACTGATTTGTAGCTTGAAGTTGAAATATTTTTAACATGCTCAGTGTTCTGAGACGTTAAAACAGGCTAGGCTTTCCACACTGTTGTAAAAGCCCAGGAGTGCATCCTTTCTGATGAAAGTAACATGAAAAAAAAAATTGCACTGCCAGGAGAGGTTCCACATGAAAACACAGCCCTTAGACCTCGATCAGAGTCTGTGCTTTGCTCACTTCAGTATTCCTGCAATAACTGGGAGTTTTTCCAGGTATGTTTCTGGTGATGAGCAGTGGTTGTGTTCTCAACAGTTAATTTTTACCCAATTCTGAGAACAAATACTGCCACAGAGAAAAGCCAGGATGGGCTGGTGTGAGGTTAGCGTGGCTGGGGTTGTTAACAGTTTTTGTGTGTCCAGTATTTTGATGACACAATCTACGCTCATCCATTCTTTGGTGGCATTATGTAACGTGGCCTATGAGAGAATGCCTTTTAATCTTTCTTGGGTAATGAGCGATGAAGCAAAAGGAAACAGAGACTCAATTTGTTCTGCTCCTAAGGGCATGAAATACAAAACCAAATGAAAGAGCAGGTCCAGCAGACAGTGACAGCCCAGAGAATAAGGATGAGAGGACCTTCAATTACAGCCCGAGTCCATTGGCCCTGTACCAATGGCTCCTGTTTTTTTTTTGTTTTTTTTAACCTTCTCACTCATTTACTGTTTGGACCACTTGTTGTGTCTCTGAATTGTGAACTTGCCTACCTTGTCAGGTCCAGGCCAAAAGACAATTCGTACTTCTTTTTAGTGGGGAGCCCAGTGTTAAGACTTCTAATCTCTCATTTGGCCCTATGAAACCCTACTTAAGCCTGGGCAAATCACTGCCAGGATTACATCAAAAATTAGAGGATTAATAACAGCAGTTTCTTTTGAGTGGAGTGTAAGTTTAGATAATTATACTTTTAGACAGTTGATTCAGCTCTGTGATTTGTCAGGCTGTAGCGAGTCCTGGTGTTGTGTTGTGTTGTGTTCAAGAAGCTTACCTACTTGTTTTGATTTGATTAACAAGTAAAAAACATAACAATGTATAACAAAACATTTAAAAACACAAATATTTGTAGCACAAATATTTTACCACTTTATTTTTTGCAAACTTCAGCGGGGCACATTATCAACAGCTCATTTGCATTTTCTAATTTTCATATTTTCTCTTCACTTTCCATAAACAGAAGCAAAGCTGTAAACTCTCATTTAGCTCTTTCTGCAGGAACCTATTGGCTGCATGGGAACCTAACAACTAGGTGGAAAGCAGTTTACTCAAGCTGGTAATTTTATTTGAGAAAGTTTTTTAAATAAATCTGTAAGCTATGTTATAAGATATCGTCATTGTTATATAAAGCCATAATGCCAGAAACATCTTGTTATAGTCAAATATGAAGCTATTTTTGTTTAACTTTGCTCACCGCTCTGTGGACACAGAACTGAGCCAACTCTGTGACAGCGTTGACAAAAATTGAACATTATCAGCTCCAGTGTATATTGCCAAGCCGTTGCATCAGGTTATAGTAATCATTACAGGTGTTTTTGCTGCATTATTCACTGTCATGTTTATTGCAAAATGAACAGTTTTGAATAATGTACCTGTATGTAATCTTTATATAACTGCCATTTAAACTCTATTGTCAATCATTCTGGGTGATGCACTTTGTTTTTAATTGCAGAATGAATTTAAAAGAAAAATGTTTAAACAGTTTAATCTTGCTATGCATACAGTACCAAATCATGTCAAGAACAAACACATGCACAGGAGGAAGCAGGAAAGCAGGTTCAAACACCCACTAATGAGCCATCAGGCTTTCATTTCTAGGGAAACAAACAAACAAAAGTGTTTGATTCATTCATTACTCAGTCTCTTTCATTAGGTGATGATAAAATGTCTTGTAATGGCCTGCATACAGAACCCATCACTTGTATTGATCTAGAAAAGGAAGGGTTTAAATGGCATATGAAAAGCAGTAACCAACTTGATAAAGCACCTGAAATGTTTCCCCTGTGGACTTGATGTGTTCTGATGGAACACATTTGATCAGTCAAGACGTGTTTGTAAGTAATAAAGACTAGGGCTGTACCTGATTAAGGATTTTGTCAGTTGGCTCTTCAGTGTGACTGCTCCTTCTTTTTCTTTCTTATATAGTCAGAAAATCAAACGGCATGAATTTTGACAACATTAACTTTGGTATTTAAATGCAAAAGTGTGACAGGAGCATATTTCTGAGCATTTAAAAATCAACAGAAGACAGCTGCAGATGATGCAAGAAATTTTGTCCTATTTAAAGTGATAGATAATATCGGGTTGCCATATGGATTTGTTGGAATAACGAGACAGGCAGCATGCTCGTATTTCTGTTGAAACAATGCTCTTATGGGCAGTTTTTTTTCTGAGACATGGAGACATGGTTATAGCCTAGTTTACTAACAAGTTTAAGCTTCTCCCATCAGTTACCATGTTGTTATTGAGTGTTTGATGTGTGCCAGGTTGCACTGCTAATGATTCTTCTGATTTATAATTCCTCATTGAAAAATTTTTCCACACGCATTGATGTTAGCTTCCTAGTCCCATTCGGATGGATCCATGCCATGTTAATGGCTGTGCGTTGCACTTTAACTGAGATGGGTAAACTAACCGGACTTGAAAAACCAGCTCCATAATCTTTTCTCTTGTAAAAGTAGACCATGATATTTAAAACCACTTCTAATAAAGTTCAAATCTCATCTTTATGTGGTTTGTCCTAGTGGGTTTTGTTGTTCTTTTTCTCCTTGTTCTGCAATTTGCTAAATAGATGAGACCTTAATGTACATCCACGTATCAGACAGTGTCAGCACTGAATGACTCGAGTAGTCGACTATTAGGGGGAGGGGGCAGCCCTAATAAAGACATGACAACAGTCAGTACTGGTGATATGAGAGCCATCATGGGAAGAAAGAATAGAAATAATAAGGTAAAAAGATTATTGGGTAAAAAACCTTTATGTTGCAGGGCCTTATTAAAAGTGTATTCCAATCCACTATAGTGGAGCAACTTTTCTTTGTTCAGGTTCAGCTATGTATTCAGAATAGTTTAATAATGAAAAGGTTGTGTTCGGGCTTACAGACATGCTGCTGACATTAGCTGTGATTTTAAAGCAACAACAACGTGGATTTGTAGCAGAGAATGACAACATATCGCCCTAACACATAGCATTAAGTTACTTGCTGTTCCTAACAGCTAATCCACATTGAAAGCCTTTTTGAAAGTGTTTCTGCCGTTTCTACTGGTATGGTATTCAGTAGAATCAATAAATCCACAGGCGACATAAAAACAGCATACATGAAAACTATTTTTGTCCAGTCGTCCACCTGGTGAAAACTCTTCCCCCTGCCACTGTCCGGCTGACAGACGCACAATGCGTCGCTCACGTCTCGCTTTCAGTGTGAACTGAATGGATAGACTTTGAACAATTTGCTAAAATGCTGCAGGTGTAGATTTAAATGGGTTTAAGCATAAATAAAAGTCCTATTAATAGTTTAAAGGTGCAAGAAAGTGTAGGGCTAAATTTAATTGTGGGTTTACTAACCAAACAGAAGAACAAAAACACTCAGACATGACCAAGATAAATGCACAAATAGGGGGATAAGGAGAACGGCACAGCAGGAAAAGTAGACACATACTGTAATGTAAACACAGTTCTGATTTAGAAAATGAAGAATTACGGAAAGCGGTTCTTCCATCAGTCACACATGGCTAATCCATGATCCTCCTCCTCCCATGGCACTGATAACACTATAATCAGCAGATCAACACACCTTGCAGCCACTTGGTGCTATTCATGGTGCTGAGGTGGATTCACTGAAAAAAATCTCCTTCAGTAATGTCCTCCCTAACCGTTCAATTACAGCTCCCTTGTATCTTAATGCTTTTGGAATACGCTGCAAGAAACAAATTTGATTTGCCGCTGACCCCTGGGGGATAGAAATGTGTGAAGTTATAGGGAAAATTTAAAAAAGAAAGTGGGCAGACAGACGACCAGGCACGCTCCCTCATAGCTTTAGCTGTTGGATCGAGGATGGAGGGGAGGCAAGTGGGAAGCGAGGGTTAGTATCCGACCTGAATGAGAAAGTCCTGAGAGAGACAGGAGCTGTTGGAGCCGACTCAAACAATTTGAGTCCAACACATCATCTGTGAGAGATTTATCAAAGGAGGAAGTGGCCTTGGCTCCTCTTTTTGGTCTAATTTGAGTGCTGAGGGACACAGCCTCCTGGGAAGGATCAACCTTCACTGTCCAACCTGTAATTAGTGATTAACGGTGAAGTCCAGACTTTTGATTTACACTGCTCTGCTCCCAGAATGGGATGTTGGTCGGTGCCACGGTGAGAGGTAAATCAACTACCGTGCAGGAGGCAACAAGCTTGTCAGGGAAAATAGCCTGGGCCTGCAGGATGCTGCGAGGGGCTGGATGCATGAAGACAAATTACACCAAGGTTGCTTAGCCAACCCCCTTACTCTATCCTCTATCGGGCTCTGTCGCTCTCTTAAACACATGCTCACTCCGCTCTGTCTTCCTTCACCATGATTCTCATTCCTCTAACACAGTCCCCTTTCTCTCCCTCT